AGCAGCATGATGGAGAAAGAGTAAGTGACAGAGGGGGTTAATCTGAATAAGTAAGGTGTGTATACACTGTGAAATACCAAGGCAAAATTCACTTAAACAATCAATATGCAGTTTTAAAAAATGAAGGACAGGAATGTAAAACCCATCCTGTCTGGCAGTGGCTATTAGCGGGACGGGGGAGGTGACCATTTGAGACCATCTCTGTCTTCTACTAGGAGGGAATCTCTCCTTAGTAATTCCCCCCGGCCAGCAAAGCCCTCTCTCATGCTTTACCCAACACTTCAGTCCCATGACATGGTACTTAGTGGCATGCATCTATCTCTAGAACCTCTTCTCTATTGGACACTCATCCCCATCTGTCCATTGATGTCATTGCCTCTGTCAAGGCCACCAACATTCCCACTCATCAGTCTCTCTCCAATGTGGTCTTCTTAATCCACACTGAAGCCAGATGGGGATTTCTAAAACAGCTGGCTCTCTTGACTCCTTCAAGTTACTTAGTAGAATAAGCAGCTATCTAGATGCAAAACAAACCTCACCCTTCTCAACAAAATGAGCTCAAATTAGTTTATACCTGTAAATGTAAGAGCTAAAACTACAGAATTTCTAAAATGATATAGAAAAAAAAAAAAGCTTAAGTATTGGGTGAGGCAAGAATTTCTTAAATAAGATACAAAACACAAACCATGAAAGGATAAATTGCTAATTTAACTTACAAATATAAAAAAATTAAGTCTTCAGTACTGTTAGAAAAATGAAAAGTCTGGAAGAAAATATATGCAACATGTACCTGCTAAAAGACATATCTGGAATATGTAAGAACTTCCAAAACTCAAGGATAAGAAGATAAACAACCCAGTGAAAAAACAGGCACACAAATTGAAAAGACAGGTCACAAAATAACATGTAGGTATAACAAGTGCTCAATATTACTAGCCGTGAGCAAAATGCAAATGAAATCCAGAATGAGAGACTACTACACACCAATTAGGATGGCTAAAATTGCAGACTGACCATAGCAAATGCTGATGGAGACAGAGTAACTGGGACACTCACACATATTTAGTGTGGATGCAATGGTATAACTGCTTTAAAAAACAGCTGGCCAGTTTCTGATAAAGCAAAACATACTCACCGTATGACTCCCCATTTTGCTTACTTATTTACACAAGAGAAATGAAAACGTACGTCTCCAGAAAAACCTTTACACAAATACTTCAAGTAGTTCTATTCCTAATTGCCTAGAACTGAGACTAGCCCAAATTCCTACTAGCCAGTAAAAGAATGAACAAATTGATACAAATCCATATAATGAAATTAAAATTAAAAAGGGAAAAGGTATCGAATCATGAAACTTTTGTTAATCTCCACAAAATGCACTTTAAAAAAGGGTGATTTTTCTTTTCAGAAAATTATGAGCTATATCTCAATAAATAAAACTGAAGGGGCATCCTTTAATAGACCCTGTTCAGGTTTTGTAAGATCATTTGGACTCAAGCTATTCAAGAGAAGGACAGTTTATATTAAGATGTCAGGAGTAAAATGGAATTCCATGGAAATTCTAAGCCAGAGTTGTACTGGCATGGGGAGACAGGATGCAAAGGGCATGTTTGGGTATTCCTTTCTCACGGATGTTCTCTGGTCCACACTGGTCTCCTTTATCCTGATTCCTGCACTCATACATCTGATTGGTCAGCTCATCCCTTTATCCACTCTCAACTTACCTGGGAACTTGAATCCTTGGGCCAGGTGTTATCTTTGATGAATAATTGTTACTTAGAGATCAAGGACATCCACTGCTGGTGGCGACCTACAGAAAGATCAGTTCTGTTAATGATGGAGATTGTGTTGGTAAGCCCCACAACATACGTGTCTTCTACCCTCCCACTGCCTTTAAGTTGAGTATAAATGCCCTAACCTGATGAATAAATCCCCTCTTACCTCTCAAGCCTGGTTTCTTGTCAAATCTCCTTACTGCCCATGACTATCTTCTAACAGCACCTCCAGCATTCTGCAGTACCAAGCGCAAGCACCTGGCACTGCTCACTGAAGGAGCTTAGTTCTTTCTGGCTTTAGTCTGAGACACATGCCTCTTTCTGGATCCAAAGGCCCTTTCTTCCATTCCCTCTTTGCCTAACTTGCCATGTTTGAGGTTCCAGAACTCTACTGGGGCATTATCACTACCACCTTGAATGCCATCAAGCCTGTTTCTCACCTCAGGACTCTGGAACTAGGCTGTACATCTCTGGTTTAGAGAGTTCAAAGATCTTAAATATTTGGAATAGCACACATTATTCCTGCTTCATGGGGTGGGTTGGCATGCAGTCCTTAGAGGGTTGATCACAGGTTCCAGTTCTGCCTTCCAGGCTATGCCAGCATGCACCATAGTGGCACAGGTGAGTAGAAGTGAGGGTCATGGCTGGTTCAGAGCATCTAATTCTCAGGATGCCATTCACTGAATCATTGCCAATATTTGAGATGGTGCCCAGGCTTATAGTGGGTCATTCCATTATTCTGTTCATTTATTGATTCATTACTGAGAAATTCATTTGCATGATACATTTCCAATAACGACTTTTTGCACTTAGTGCCCTCTTTGTGCCAGGGACTTCCCCTGCCAGAAGGACACTAGTGAAAGGTGCATAGTTACCACTGGCACTATGCTTACAGTCCAAAGGGGAGACAGATGTTAATCAATTTATTACTAATTAAAAATTGGAGTCTATCAGATTCTCTGCTTTCAGTTGAATGAGCCTGCTAGCTCATGTTTGGATCATCGAATTCCTCATCATCACAGAATCCTGTTTCTTGACCTGACATCCAAGTCCTGCTCATACATTCCCCTTGGTGAAGTTTCTGAATGACAAAGCTATGCTGTCTTGCCCCAGAGGCTGGGTTCTCCAGGATCATTCATCCACTCCATGTCTATGTGACATGTGTGGCTGCCATTCTTCTGTGAGGGAGCACACAGACAGGGGACATTTGGAGGCTGTGCTAAGGTGATCTGTTCACAGTATTGGGTCAGCCAGGACCACCACACTAGGACCAGGGCAGCTTCTACAGCTGTAAGAAGACCATAGGTCGACAGAGCCAGGAAATGTGGGAGTGAGTTCCTGTCCCAAGAATTCTAGGGGTCAATGCCAGCATGAAAACACTCCCTCCACTTTTAGTTAATATCTGAAAACCTGCATGTCTTGAGACAACTAAATGTAATGTCTGACTCTAGACTCCTAAAGGAGTCTTCCCTAATGGAGGGGAAAGAAACACTATTATCAGATCAATTGACAAAAACTTGAGTGCAGCCTAGATTAGATACAAATGTCTTATCAAAATAAATTCATAAATTTGGTAACTATATTGTGGTTAAGTAAGATAATACCCCTATTCTTAAGAAAGATACATCCACGTGCAGAGGAGTAAGGGACCATGGTGTTTGGAACTTACCCAGGAATGATTCAGAAAAAAAAATATGTCTAAGTATGTAGGAGAGTTTCACATTATCTATAAAATTCTCACAACCTGTCAGGCTTTCTGGTTGCACAGGTGTGGATTGCTGATTGGAGCCTACAGTGAAGCTAAAAGTTTCAAAACTTTTAAGCTGGTGAGAAGTTGACCCAAACAGTTTTCTCTTCTTAAATTTTCTTTTGAGTCCTTTCTCTACAGTAAGAATCCTTTGCACCTTTCCTCTAGGATCCTTTCACATTCCTCTCTCTGAATTTTCATCTTCTGCTTTCTGATGTTGGACCAATGGCCAGAAATCTTAGCGAGGCCTGATAATGATGATCTTTTCATTTTACATCAGTCTAAGGTGGGAAAAACCATTGCTAGAAGCAAGAGCTATAAAAGAGATGGCTACTAAGAGCTTTGGGACAATACCTGGCTTTTAATCTTTGCCCTGCACTTACCAGCTACTTGACCTTCTGGAAGTTACTTTAACTTCATGGAGTCAGTTTCCCAGGTTGTCCAGTGGGTATCTCTGTGTAACAACCTCAGAGGGCCGGAGTGGGTGTTAAATACAATGATTCATAAAAGTTTCACACAAAGTGTCTGCTCAATGAAGGGAAGTTATTGTAACTGTTTTTCTAACTCCAAGACACAGGGGGGAAAAAAAACTTAATTATCATCATCTCATCCGTATTCGATATGATACAGACACTAAGAATCACACTGAAGGCGATGGTTTCCATGAACTTAGGAGCCCGACCAGCAGCCACTTTATGTTCCAGGTAAGACCTCTTTGAATCCCCAGGACATCACTTTCCAGGAGGCATTGTTTGGACACTGAGACTTGGCTGCGTGCGTCTAGAAAAAAAAAAAAAAATGCAGGGCCTCCAACTCCTCCCGTCGTCCCATACTCACACGCAGACAAGTAAACTGAGGCTCAGAGAGGAGGTGAGGCCCCAAATCTGGCTGGTTGTGAGCAAACCCAGGTTTCCTTTTCCCAGGGCGGGGACCGCCAACTCACGACAAGCGGGTCTGGCAGCCGCAGCCCATCCGCTGGTCCTTCTGCTGCGCCCTGGTTGAAGGATTTGGATGTACAGTTAACACTTTTTTTGGAGTTTCAAACAATCCGCTTTGCAAATTGCCTTTCGGGACAGGTCCGATTTGTCTTTCGCTGGCGGGGCCGCGGGAGCCTCGGTTGTCGCTGTCGCGATCCGGTGTCCCGGGGTCCCGCGGGGCGGAAAAGGGGGTGGGGAGGAGGTCTCCGCGCGCTGGTCCGGAGCGTGAGCCTCCGGGAACCTCCGGTCCCCGCAGCCAGCCAGCCGCTGGGCCCGCGCCCCCCGCGCCCCCCGCGCCACGCCCTGCGCCCAGGCCGCGGCTCCTCCCGCGCTGGCGGCTGCCGAGCGGTCCGGGAGGCGGCGGCGGGAGGAGGAGCAGGAAAAGCGGCCGGGGGAGGAGGAGGCGGAGGCGGCGGCGGCGGCGGCGGAGGCGGGGAGGGCGGGCGGGGCCGCGAGAGTTTAAAGCCCATCGAGGGGGTGGGGAGGCCGGGAGGAGGCAGGAAGGGAAAGGAAGGGAAGGGAGCTGCGGCGCTCGGAGACCCGCCGGAGCCCAAAGTTTCCGCGCAGCCCTTGGGCAGCGGCGGCGGCGGGGCGTCCGGGACCGTCCTGCGTGCCGTCTTCGCCCCGCGGAGGGAACCCCGCGCCCGCTGCAGGCTTCGCTGAGTGTAGCGAGCGGCCACGCGGAGGCGGCGAGGAGCGGCCCCGCGGCAGGTACGGAGTTGGGCGGGGAGCGCGGCGGCAAGTTACTTTGTGGCCCGGGCCGGCCGGGCGGGTCCCCGCGGCGTCATTGTCTGCGCGCTGGCCGGCCGCGGCCGGGGACGCCGGGGCCCGCGGAGGCGCGGCGGGCGGAAGGGCGTCGCCTCTGGGTTGGGGGCTCCGAAGCCCCTGGCCCACGGTGGGCGACGTTGGAAGGCGGGATCGGGGCTGCGGGTGCGCGGCACAGGCGGCCGGGCGCCCCGCTGGGCTCTCTCCGCTGCGCTCCCGACCCCTGGGGGGAGGTGTGGAGCCCCAGCGGCGCATTCTTGAACCATCTTGTCAGACGCGGACGGCTCGGGGGCTTGGGGTGGGGGCTGCGGTCATGGCCACGCTCTTGGGGACCGTCGCCCCGGAGGGTGGGCGCCCGGGCGCCCCTGGAGCCCCGGGTGCTCCTGCTGCGCGCGGCGGGGCTTCGGCGCGCGCGCCCAGGCGGGCGGGGCAGCGGTGCCAGACACTCCCAAGTTCCGAGCGCGGCCGGGCCTCGGACGGAGGATCTTTTTTTTCTTCTTCTTTTTTTTGGTTCAGTTGGTGGCCCTGTTACCGGCCGCTGGGGCCTTACCACTAAGTTGAGGGCTCGCGAACTAGCCGCCCGCCAGCCGTGGAAACGTGATAAGAGCGGTACCGTTTGCAGAAGGAAATTTCTGATGCAACTCTCCGCCTTTGCTGATTGCCTCTCCAAACGCCTGCCTGGCGAGGGCCCTCGAGCATGTGCGTTATGGAAATGAGGGTATTCTTTACTTTTTATTGTGTTCGTCTTTTCTTGGGATTGGAACGAACGCGAACTTCTTGTTTGCTTTGACCGAAACGTTGGGTAAAAGTAAGGGAAGCCACAGGTGATTTTTTTTTTTTTTAAACAAACAGGGTCCTGGATCTTTAGGATGCGTTTGAAAGAACGTTTTCTTGCAAACGTTTCATTCAAGAGATGCAAAGAAAAGACCAAAACAAGTAGCACTCGGGAGTAAATATGCGTTATTGCACAACTTTCTCTTTGCCGCTGTTTTAAAAGGCCAGGCCCAGAAGACTTTGTTTCAGAAAATGCTGATTCAGCCGTTTGGAGCCCCTGAGTTCCAGAAATGGAGCTCTATTTAACGTTTCACTCCTCTTTACCAAGAACTCACGTCGTGAGCGCAGCAACAGGGTTTACAGCCTAGGGTTTACACTACAGTGCTGGTAATATTTTAACAAGAGTTGACTTAGAGCTGCTCTTTCCAGGTAGAAGCTAGGTTTGTGCAACAGAGCGAATTCTGGCTCAGGCAATGGTATTTTACTGAAATCAAGCGTGCTTCCAGGAATGATTCTTGATGTCTAGGTTTTTCTGTTCAAAATCAAAACTCTAAGATTACAGCACACCTTATTTGAGTTTTACTGGGAGCACTTGAAAGAGAAGGAGTACACAGGCCAATCCCCAGATTACAGGGAGGGAATTTGAGGACAGACAGAGTTACACGCCCAGCAGGCAGTTGCAGTAACTGAGAAGTGTGGCCATTGATACTTCGGTAGCATTTCACAGTTTACAAGGCACTTTCAAAAGCCTTGTTGCTTTTAATCCAGCGCGTAGCCCCCCTGATCCCCATTTTACAGGTCTGGAGACCAAGGCTCAGGAACTTAATTGCCATGCCTCAGGTCATTTGGGTTGGCAAATGACAAAGCTGTTACTAGAACCTAACTAAGCTTTGGGTTCCTTTGAGTCCTGTGTGTTTTATGTTTTTGCAAAAGTACACCCACTTCTGAAAGAGAAATGACCTTGGAGGAGGTCTGAGTTGCTGATCACACACCCTGAGAATTTGGAGGCTCTGGGATGGGTTCATGTCCAGTGGCTTCCAACCTTCAAGATTAATGCCATATATAGGTCAAATCATTTTGAGATTTGTAAATGATACTTGAATACACATTTATTTGGTGAAGAAACTTTGATATTCATGAAATTCTGAGTTTGAATTGCTTTATTGCACTTACAACAGAACAGCTGCCTACTGCTACACTCATCTGCAGCACATCACCTGTATTGCTTTTGGGGTAGCTATTGGATTGATCAAAATGGTTTTCATTTGTGCTAGGAAAACAGCTGGTCATGTGTGTGATGACTCACTGTTCAGGGTTTTATACAGTGATAGCTGTCCAACTTGGAACTCAGGGCAGTCCTGGGTCAGTTTTTGGTGCCCAGTTCTATGTCCACTCTCTCTAGTGAGAGGAAAGAGCCACGTGATAATCTAAGATCTAGCTCAGGACTTTCAATGCTTATGTTCTGGCTGGGTCAGAGATTCTACAATGTATAGACACCAAACTCATGTTTCAACAAAGAGATCTATGGTGCCTTTTGGCTTCCTCTTAGAGCTGTACAAATTCTTGGTTTCTTAAGAATTTCTTAAGTTGAAGCCTTCAGGTACCGATTTTAGATCTTTTTAAAAAAGATGTTAGCATTCAAAGCTAGGTGTTTCCCTGCAGGCACTGCTTTGGCTGCATCCCACAGACTTTGATGGGGTAGTCATTATTTTCTGATGGAATCAGTTTAGAAGTAAGAGAGTTTATGGAAGAAATTAAAGCAGTCAAGTTACCTGGTGAAGTTTGGCAAAAAACAAAAAAAAGTGCTTTGGGATTTTTGATTCTATTCTTTAGAGTCTGCATGCTAATGGGTGTATGACTGTTCTGATCTGTTTATGCACTGGGTGATACTAGATTTGCATTAATATTTGAACTGTACACTTTTAGGGGGGCTGTATCTGCTCTCCTTCTTGGCCAGGACACCTCACTTTAGACTGCCTTCCCTGAGTCAGAGGAGCACTTCTGAATTTATTTCTGAGGAATGAACGTTCCTGGCACTTGTCTTCCAGGGGCTTTTATCCACATTTATAATGATCACAGGGGCTGATAACTGAGGAAAGATGAAAGCAGGAAGGTTAAAACGAGATACAGAAAGGCAGATTGACGCCTCTTTAATTTTTTTTGGTGGTACTGGGGTTTGAACTGAGAGCTTCATGCTTGTGAGGCAGGCACTCTTCCTCTTAAACCACACCTCCAGCCCTTTTTTCTCTGGTTATTTTAGAGATGGGGGTCTTACTTTTCGCCAAGGCTGGCCAGGACTGCCGTCCTTCTATTTTATGCTTCCCACTGTAGCTTGGATGACAGGTGCATGCCACCACACCCAACTTTTTTCTGTTGAGATGGGGGTCTTGTGAATTTTTGTTGGCCTGGGCTAATCTGAAATTGCAATCCTCCCAATCTCAGCCTCTCAAGTAGCTAGGATCACAGGATTGAGCAACTGGTGAGTGGCTTGACAGTTCTTTTTTAAATAATGTAATGAAAACTGGTGTGATTATTCTTTGGGATGTCAACAAGATCCCTTTTCTAGGGTTATCAAAAATCATGCCAGAGTTAGCAGTGAGGACTTCTCTTCTTTGAGATTTCCTTTTTCCCTCTGCTAGAATGTTAATACTTTTCAGCCATCTACTTTACATGTAGATTTGGGGAAGATTTTCTTTGATTGTTCAAACCCTAAATTTGAGGAGCTTGTTATTTGATCTGGGCACAGCAACACAGTAGACTTGGTTGTTAACACCCAGTGGGGCACTGGGAATAGTGCCTATAGGGCCTTTCCACTATATAGCTTCCTTCTTGTTTTGTTTGACCAAGGACTCAGCCAACAGATAATTCCATGATGTCCACTGCCTCCATTTGACTCTTCGTACCAGTATTTACTAACTCATTGAGCCTGAACTACCTCACCCCTTCTGTAGAATGGAAGTTAGAGGAGTGCTTACCTCTGAATACTGTGAAGGTAGAGTAACATTAGATTTGTGTGAGAGTGATTGGTACAGCATGTGGGACTTGCTCACTTTGGTGGCACAGTAGTGCTCACTCAACCTGGTCTTAGAGCAGTTGGTGTGCTTGATCTTTCTGTTTCCTGTTCACATCCAAGTTCTCTTAGAAAGGAGACCTTGTTTTGCATATTTTTGTTCTTCAGAACTTTGTGCATGTTCATTGTGCAAAACCTTGTTGAATTGAGGTGAATATTCTTTGGGCCACAGTCATAGTTAATAATCCTTTTCTTGCCTATATTTAGACAAGGATATTTAGCTAGGATGCTAGCAGTGAAGGGCTATGGTACACCATAGACTTCACTTGACTGCAAACCATTTGAGATGATCAAAGTGTATAGTGGGTGTCAAAAATTGTTTTCCTAAGACCTAGAGCAAAAGATGCAAAGAACCTAGGGTCTTGAATGTACTAGGCAAGCGTTCTACCACTGAGCTTGCAGGATGAAAGCTTGGGATGAGCTTGGGTGTGCACCCTGGTGAGTGTCTCCGAGTCCCATCTATGGGGCTCCCTCAAGTCCTTGCAGGATTTTGAGCAGCCGTCTTTCCTTTTAACAAGGGTACATGGCACAGAAAGAGTTCAGTGTGTGTTGGTCCTTATCACACCATAATTGTCACCACAGCTAACATACAGTTGGGGGCTTGGGATCCTTGCTTGCTCTTGCAGGGCAAGTAGAGTTGCATTGTAGGGTGCTGTCTATCTGCTCCATCTGTGCACCACCTGTGGAGTCTTTGACAAAGGATGAACCATGCTTGATGCCTGCACATCCCCTCATTGCCTTCTCTTGTCTTGTCACATGGGAGCCAACAGCCAGGAACCTTCAGGGCTACTTAGCACAAGCTGTCAGGATCTCCCTTGAGGCCCCATTTCTTCACTTGTCTGATAAGCAAGTCCTTTGGTTCGCTTATTTAATTTTTAGTTTCTTTCTTTTTTTTCCCTGTTTCTTTTTCTTTGTTTTTGTGGTGCTGGGGATAGAACCCAGGACCTTTCTCATACTAGTCAAGCGCTTTACCACTGAGCTGCATCTCCAGCCCCTTATTAAATTTTTCTTTTTAGGTTTCATCTTTGAGAGTGAATAGGTGATAGCTTCCAACTGAATTTCCCTTTAATATAAAAACCTTTACAATACCACAAATCTAAGA